GACAGGGGGGGGAGTGGTGGGGAACCACAAGCAAGCGGAACAGGCCGGCCCCAGGGTACTTTTGTGTGGTCATCCCACCCCCCAAAATAGGACCCCTGAACGCCAAAAAAACGTCGACAAGGAAAAGAAAATAATTTAAGAGTACTTTTAAAAGCAAACATTAAAAAAGATCACCAAATAAAACACAGAGGCAAAACATCGGCGGGAAGGAATGAGAGGAAATACCCTGTTAGTGATGGGGGTCGGGGAGAAATTGGGCGACGGTCTCAGCAACAACCCGGCACCCGCCCCCCTCGAAAGAAAAGGAAGACTCGGCGCAGGACGGTAAGGCGAAATGTTAGGGACGAAAGCTACACCGAACGTCACAGAGAGGTGCAAAAAGGGACTCCCCCCCCCCCCCCCAGAGGGAGAGACGCCCCCCCCCCATCCCGTGACGAGAGAGAGAGAGAGAAGGCCTGCAGCTGAGAAGGACGGGCGAGAAAACACCTGTCTGGGAGTCTAGTGTTACACACAAGGATCATGAGAGACTGCCTGATACTAAGGTAGATTCCAGAGACTAATACTGCCTCCTGGTGGTAGCTTGAAGCACCACACACCTGGTTACGGAAGCTCGAAGGGGAAGAAGGGGGTACGGCAACGGGAGTCCAACAACGGCACGATTCACGGGGAATCAGGACTGCAAAGCCAATGCACACAACCCCCCCCTTTCATACGTGCAGCACAGAGATTCTACCAAGCAGCGCAAAATGGCTCCGGCGCAGGAAACCCCTGGTCCTGCCAACCCCCGAAACAGCTGTATGACGGACACACAGCCCCGGAGGGTTCCCCCCCCCATCTCCGCAGGGCCACATGGGAAATCCAGAACCACCTGCTGGATTTCAGGCCGTTGGACAACTACTCAAGGTACAGCAGGTCTTGCTAGGGAATGCTGGGAAGAGGGAGACGTCGCCCAAAGGGGATTGGGGGAGTCAAAAGCCCATGTGCCAAACGCACTCGGGCTAGTGTTTAAATGCCAAACTACTGAAATCGGGGTGGGAATCAGGGGGAGGGGACTGGCGGTGGGAGGATAAGACCCCGGCCACTCCTCCTCGCCCGGCCTCGGTCGAGAAGAGGGGGCGCGTGAGCCCGTGCAGGCAGGCCTCAATCGTCTGCAACGTTTCCATTTGTTCTGTACGTTTTAGTTTGTCAGCCACTGTGGTGGCTCTCGTAAGGGCAGAAAAGCAGGAGAGACATTTTGTGAATAAATAGTAACCAGTTCCCGGAAAGACAACACGGCCCCCCCTATCTCTCCGTGTCTCCGGCTCTACAGTCGGGGAAGAAGACGGGAGACTTTTTGCTGTGTGCTGGGCCCGAGGATGGGGGAGAGGAGAGGGGCGGTGCGGTGCAGATCCCATGCTGAAACGAGAGGGGAGGGGTCGGGGGGCAGCGTTCTAATCGGCACAGGGAAGGACTCCAACGAGAGCAATTCAGTTTCTGTTTCCATGGAAGCCACCCCACTCAGGACGGGGCGCAGGGAAGGGCGGCGGACTGATTTCTTGCCCCCAGCTTCTACGGGGCTCGGAAAGCGCTGCTGGCTGCCCCGGTGGCTGCGTTGGCGGCCGCTGTGCGCACCGTCTGGTTGGAGAAAACGCCGGCGGCGAACTCCTCCTGTGCCTTCTGGAAGCTGGCCCCGGTGCGGCGGTAGAGAGAGTGGATCTGCGGGGAGAAAGGAGGGGGGAGAAAGTGAATCGGTTGCTACGTTTTTTATTCAGCTGCCCCTCCCGGAGCCAAGAGCCATGCCGATGCTGTTCCCCCACCTTTTAACCTTTACAACAGAGGTGATCGAGAGAACGTTTTCTCCCTCTCCCAAACTTGAAGGCATCCAATGAAGCTGATGGGCAGCAGGTTCAGGGCGGACAAAAGGAAATACTACTTTACACAGAGAGGGATTAAATGTCGAATTCGCTGGCAGAGGTTTAGACAGCTTTAAAAGAGGGTTAGATAGATTCATGGAGGAGAGGTCTATCAGTGGCTGCTAGCCATGGTGACTAAATGGAGCCTCCACATTCAGACACAGCCAGCCTGTGAATCCCAGTGCCAGGAGGCAACATAGGGGAAGGCCTCGGCCTCTATGCCCTGTTGTTGGCCCTCCAGAGGAACTGGTTGAGGCCCCTGTGTGAGACGGGATGCTGGACTAGATGGATCCTCACTGGTCTGACCCAGCAGGGCTCTTCTGATGTTCTTATCAGGGGAAGGCCTCAGCCTCTCTGCCCTGTTGTTGGCCCTCCAGAGGAACTGGTTGAGGCCACTGTGTGTGACAGGATGCTGGACTAGAGGGACCCTCACTGGTCTGACCCAGCAGATCCAGCAGGGCTGTTCCGATGTTCTTATGAGGGGAAGGCCTCGGCCTCTCTGCCCTGTTGCTGGCCCTCCAGAGGAACAGGTTGGCCACTGTGCAAGACGGGATGCTGGACTAGATGGACTACTGGTCTGATCCAGCAGGGCTCTTCTTACATTCTTTTCAGGGGAAGACCTCGGCCTCTTTGCCCTGCTGTTATCCCACCAGAGGAACTGGCTGGCCGCTGTGTGAGACAGAATGCGGGGACAGAGGGACCCTCACCTTATTTCGTAGCCTGGCTAACAATCTAATAAGCTGCCTTCTTATTGCTAATTCAGTGGAAACTGACCAACAAGGGGAAATCTGACACTTCCTGAGACAGAAATTCTTGATATCAAAATGGTTAGGGGGGGAAATAATACACTGCAGGGGGGGGGGAGCAACATCATTGGAACTGGCGCAGGGGCTTTGTTTTAAGACAGCACAAGGAAAAACCCTGGCCAGTTCTGCGAAAAAGGTCCAGTTTTTCACTATGCCACGGGTCCCCAATGTGGTGCCCGTGGCCGCCATGGGAGCTGCCAACACGTTCCCTGGAGATCTACCAAGTGTTTTTAAAAGTGGTCGAAGTCTTCTGACCAGCAAGGGTTCTGATGGACTGTGCAGATTTTTTGCAAATGTTGCTTCGCAGCACCTGCCACCACAGCGGAAGGCTCTGCACTGCGTGACTGAAGTTCAGCTGTGGCAGCCATTTTGTGGCTGGCTCCGCCTCCTGCGGCAGCCATTTTGTGGCTGGCTCCGCCTCCTGCGGCAGCCATTTTGTGGCTGCACCCACTATGCCTTGTCAGGATTCCAAATGTGCCTGCAGGCTCAAGAGCGGGGGGGTGCGGGGGCGCGCACTAGGCCTTTGCAACCACAAGACCACCTGACTGGACTTGATCCATGACTGGACCACTTGACGATTGATTGATTTGGCCTTAAAAAGCTGACTGAATACTGTTGCTCCTCACAATCCTTCCACAAACACATGTAAGAATCTCTGGGAAATGCCAAGTGAAAGGCCAGATTGGGTGCACTTAGCTCAAAGGGGCGTGGTGGGAAGGATCAGGGTTTTGCCTCAAGACGGCGGAGTTTTACGACCTGCACGTAGTATACTAGTTTAGCAAAGCAAAACAAAAATTAGGTTTCTAGTCCTCACGCGTCTGTGGAGACAGGCTTCAAAGTGCGTAGGTGACGCCAGGCAAACCCAAACAACCTGCACAATATCGCCGCTGTGCCACTGAACAACCCGGCTCCCAAAGCTGTTCCACTTTCTCTTTGTTGTTGTTTTGCTTCTGATGATCAAGCGGAAGAGATTTGCGGAGCCGCGGATTGCTCACCGGCATCTCCGGCGGATGAAGCCTTCCCCACTCTCTCAGATTACAGCAGCAACGGCCCACAGGCGAGTAAGAAAGGGCCAGGGAAATGCGGATTGCCACTTTGGGGTCAGGAAACAATTGTTCACCAGCCCAGTTTGGCCCAGGGATCCTGGAGGTTTTTTGGTCACCTTCTGGGCATGGAGTGGGGGTCACTGGGGCAGTGGGGGGGGGAGGCATTTGTGTATTTCCTGCATTGTGCAGGGGGTTGGACTAGATGACCCTGGAGGTCCCTTCTGACTCTACGATTCAGTGAAACTTGATTTGCTGCTTTGCTTTTTTTAGAAGAGAAGAAGAGAAGAGATTGGATTGATCCCCCGCCCTTCACTACCCAAAGGGGTCTCAGAGCGGCTTACAAACTCCTTTCCCTTCCCCTCCCCACAACAGCCACCCTGTGAGGTAAAAGAAGAAGAGAAGAGATTGGATTGATCCCCCGCCCTTCACTACCCAAAGGGGTCTCAGAGCGGCTTACAAACTCCTTTCCCTTCCCCTCCCCACAACAGCCACCCTGTGAGGTAAAAGAAGAAGAGAAGAGATTGGATTGATCCCCCGCCCTTCACTACCCAAAGGGGTCTCAGAGCGGCTTACAAACTCCTTTCCCTTCCCCTCCCCACAACAGGCACCCTGTGAGGCAGGTGGGGCTGAGAGAGCTCTGACAGAAACGGCTCTTTCTCAAGAACAGCTGTGCCAGAACTATGGCTTGCCCAAGGTCATCCAGTGGAGGAGTGGGGAATCAAACCCGGTTCTCCCAGATTAGAGTCCGCGCACTTATCCACTACACCAAACTGGCTCTCAGTTTTTAAAGTCAGCTGGATTCTGAACCAAATCCCACACTCGCCATGCTCCCAGCTCTTCTGCATATGGGCAGCTAATCATCCGACGCACGTGGCCCATTTTACACAGCTGCAAAGGGGCTGTATTGAGAGCAACTGTGCCTGAGGGCACTCCAGGTCCTTGATACAGAACTAAAATATGGCTGCCTTGTTAAATTTTCTACCGACTTTCCCCAGAGGACTGTAACGTCAAAACACAAATCCGTAGAAACACCCATAAAAGCCAGTGTGGTAGAGTGGGGGGGACTAGGGTCTGGGAGACCCAGGTTCGAATCCTGCTTGGCCACGGAAGCTCGCTGGGTGACCGTGGGCAGTGTTCCCTCTAAGCTGAGTTAGTGTGAGCTAGCTCACAGTTTTTTAGCCTCTAGTTCACACATTTTTGTCTTGGCTCAGGAAGGAGGGCTCCAGAGCAGCGTTCCCTCTAAGCTGAGTCAGTGTGAGCTAGCTCACCATTTTTTAGCCTCCAGCTCACCCAGTTTTGTCTCCGCTCAGGAAGGAGGGCTCCGGAGCAAACTGATCTATGCAGCCGCCAAAGCGCTCGCTCGCAACTTTAATGCCAGCCGCTCACTAAGTAGAATTTTTTGCTCACAAGACTCCACAGCTCAGAGGGAACATTGCTCCAGAGCAAACTAGTTTATGCAGCAGCCAAATGGCTCGCTCACAACTTTAATGCCAGTCGCTCACAAAACAGAATTTTTGCTCACAAGACTCCACAGCTTAGAGGGAACATTGACCGTGGGCCAGTCACTCTCTCTCTCAGCCTAACCTACTTCACAGGGTTTCTGCGAGGATTAAACGGAGGAGAGGAGAACACCGTAAGCCGCTCTGGGTCCTTGTTGCGCAGAAAGGAGGGGCGTTAATAAAGTAAAGAATAAGAGTAAATAATTGTTTTAAAAAGAAGAGAAGAGATTGGATTTATACCCCGCCCTTCACTACCCAAAGGTGTCTCAGAGCGGCTTATAAACTCCTTTCCCTTCCCCTCCCCACAACAGACACCCTGTGAGTGAGGTGGGGCTGAGAGAGCTCTGACAGAAACTGCCCTTCAGAGAACAGCTCTGAGAGAACTTGTGACCGACCCAAGGTCACACCAGCAGCTGCATGTGGAGGAGTGGGGAATGAAACCCGGTTCTCCCAGATTAGAGACCGCGCTCCTAAACCACTACACCAGACTGACTTTGCGAGACACAAATAACCGCCTTCATTTTATCCTAATCTTCTCCCAAGTTCAGGGCAGCACACACGAAACTCCTCCCTCCTTCGTTTAATCCTCACAACGAACCTGTGAGGTAGGCTGGGAGGAGAGTGACCAGTGGCAGGCCCCCAGCCACACCCCACCCTGCCACTGGTGACACAAAGACTCCCAGCAACGAATCGGCAGCGCTGTGAGCGGAGGGGGAAAGGGCGGTTGGAGAAGGTGAAAGAAGAGTGAACCCCCCCTCCCCTCCCCTCCCCTCCCCACGCTTACCCGCTTCAGCATAACGACACCCAGCACCGCCACCGCCGTGAAGAGCGTGGCCACCAGCATCATGAGAATGGCCACGGCGGTATTCTCCTTCAGCGCCGAGAGGCTCACGATCCAGCCACTGCGATGGGGCAGGTTGCAGGGTGGGAGAGAAAGATGTTAAGGAAGCGCTAGGAGGAGTGGGTCAATGCAATTCATAAATCACACACTCCTATGCGGCTTGCGGAGCAGGGCATTCGTATCCGGCCCCTCAGCTCAGGGCGCAGCCTCTCACAGCCTCAGTAACATCAATAAGCAGGCCCGTAGCCAGGATTTTGTGGCTTGTGGGGCCATTTCCCCCCCCTGGTGGGGCTGAATTTCTCATTGCAGAAAGAAAAGCCATTTAGCCAATAGGAAGCTGTGACCAGGATAGCTCTCTAAATTGCAAGCTGCCAACCAGTTTAGATGACAGTCCTCAGCTGCCGCAAGTTAATCACCTCTGCCAGCCTAAGCAACAATCCTGATAACAAGCCGGCAGGTGGGGGTGATGACTTCTAGAGTTAAGAAAGCCAAAACTTAGGCAGAAAAACTCTCTTAAAGGGGGCCAGTTTCTTGACACAGAGTTAGAAAGGATCCTAGAGGTCACCTACTCCAACCCCCTTAGTGCGGGAATTAGTCAACTACAGCACCCCACTCTGCTTAAAGGAGCGCACGCCTTTAAAAAAATTTACAGGAGAAATCCTTGTGGGGCTGTGCCTTTAAGAAAGGCGGCAGGGCCCCCAAAAGCTCCACCGTAGCTATGGGCCTGTCAATAAGAGGACGGGTTGGATCCTCTCACTCAGCTAAAGCTCAGAGCCTTCTGCTGGCGGAAGGCTCTGCGTTTCGCCAAGTGGTCGGATTCAACCTGTTCTCTCATTGACAGCAATATTATTGATGCTGTTGTTAGTGTTTAATGAACAGTCACAGTCAAAATGAAACAAAAGGAGCTTCCAAACCCTTCCTTCAAGCAGAGGACGTTTTGCGGTTTCTTGAGCCCTCCCAGACACCACTTCTCTCGTACCCAGTCAGGATAAAAGGGTTGGAGATGCAGGCTGGGTATGTGACAGCAAGCCTTTGGCCGAGAGCTTGCCACGACGCCTGAGGTGATTTCGTTGGTGTGGTTAAAAGACAAGGGTGGAGCATCACAGATTAAATAATTCAGCTGTTACCGCACGCCTTTTCAAAGCAAGTGACTGGAAGCAGGGTTAGCCTTCTAGCTCCTGCGGTACGGTTACACACACACACCCAGTTGATGAATAAATTAACACGTAGCAACAAGAAAAGAAAGCACCCAGTTGAACCATGGAGACTGTGGCAGCACATTATTGTGCTAAACTAGGACAGTGAGCAACGGGGGGGGGGGGGGGGAGAACAGCCGAGACGCCCTGGGTCAGATCCCATACATCCGTTCAGATCAGGATTCGAGTCCAGCAAGCCTCAGAGACCAGCAAGATTTTCCAGAGTAGAAGAGAGAAGAAGAAGAAGAGGAGATTGGATTTATACCCCGCCCTTCACTACCCGAAGGAGTCTCAGAACGGCTCACAATCTTTCCTTTCCCTTCCTCTCCTCACAACAGACACCCTGTGAGGCAGGTGGGGCTGAGAGAGCTCTTTCGAGGACTGCTCTTGAGAGAACAGCTCTGAAAGGCCTTGTGACTGACCCAAGGTCACACCAGCTGGCTGCATGCGGAGGCGTAGGGAATTAAACTACCCATGCCGCCGCCTCCCCACTTTTCAGTGAGCTAGATAGAGAGCACTGTTTCAGGCTGTGTGGTGGTGGGGGCTCACTCAACCCTCTGCAATGCCTCTCCCTTGGCGGCTTGCGTGAGAGACTGGGGCTTCTATGGGGGCACTCCCAGGCATGGTGTGTGTGTGCAGGGGTGCCCCACGGCTTATTTAAAGGCCCCCCAGAATTTAAAAAAATCCTGGCTACGGGCTTGCCTGAAACTACGTCCAGATCAGGTTTTTGTAGGAGTTGCACTGGAACCTGTAGCTGTACTCGTAGCTGCCCCTGTTGTGGGAATTGTTTCCCCCCAACATGCAGTGTCAGATGAAGAGAAGAAGAAGAGATTGGATTTGTACCCCGCCCTTCACTGCCCAAGGGAGTCTCAGAGCAGCTTACAAACTCCTTTCCCTTCCCCTCCCCACAACAGAAGCCCTGCGAGCAGTGTTCCCTCTAAGTTGAGTTAGTGTGAGCTAGCTCAGTTTTTTAGCCTCCAGCTCACACGTTTTTCTCTTAGCTCAGGAAGGACGGCTCCAGAGCAAACTAATTTATGCAGCAGCCAAATCGCTCGCTCCCAACTTTAATGCCAGTAGCTCACAAAGTAGAATTTTTGCTCACAAGACTCCACAGCTTAGAGAGAACATTGCCTGCGAGGTAGGCGGGGCTGAGAGAGCTCTTTCCGGAACTGTCCTCGAGAGAACAGCTCTGACAGAGCTACGGCTTGCCCAAGGTCATCCAGCAGCTGCAAGTGGAGGAGTGGGGACTCAAACCCGGTTCTCCCAGATTACAGTCCGCACACTTAACCACTACACCAAACTGGCTCTCTTAGATATAAGGATTCCCATAACCACAGACACAACATCTTCCTTGGTGTTGGTCAGCAGTCAACAGGCAGGGCAAGACCAGCTGGGCAACTGAAGATCTAAATAATCTGCAAAACCAATCAGATCTCCAATGGCCAGTCAGCAGCCTGGCTGCGCGGCCCCACTTGGCCCCACCCACTTTCCACAAACACTTCCTGGGCCCCAGGAAAGGTGCCAGGAGGTGCCCGAGGGCACCGTCTTGGGGACCCTCGTCTTAGGCTGTCAGCTTCCGACAGCACACAGCTAGCTTTCCGCTTGCAAGGAATAGCCGCCATTAAGCCTTTATGTTGTTTGGGTTTATCACTTCCCTTAGGCTGTCAGTTTCGGCAGGCCCCTGGCCCAGCCTGCTAAAAACAAGGGGCTTGTTTTAACGACCTCCACCTGTGGCTGGTGGCTGTTAACAGAACCGTCCTCAGGAGGTGGTGGCGGCTACAAGCATGGACGGCTTCAAAAGAGAATTGGATAAGCATCTGGAGCAGAGGTCCATCAGTGGCTATTAGCCACAAGGTATAGCTAGGGGCTCTGGGGCAAGTGATGCTCTGTCTTCTTGGTGCTGGGGGGGGGGTCAACAGTGGGAGGGCTCCTAGTGTCCTGGCCCCACTGGTGGACCTCCTGATGGCACTGGTATTTCTGGCCACTGTGTGACACAGAGTGTTGGACTGGATGGGCCTTTGGCCTGATCCAACATTGGCGTCTCTTATGTTCTTATGTCCTTGGGAGTCTCCCTAAGTCGCTTCGACCAACCAGTGCAAGCTAGCTATGCGTGTCCTGGCTGGCTAATGGGTTCATGGGCCGAGGCATGGACATCTGAAAGGGTGTCTCATTTGGAGAGTGGGAGGCTGGCTATTCTACCAACAGGTAAGAAGAGGCTACATCTTCTATCCCCCCACAGCACGGACTTTCTGGCACAGGATAGACTTTCTCTCTCAAGCCTGCAAGCAAGCACCATCTTGGTGCTTGGGGGGGGGGGGGGAAAGCCCGGAAAAAAACCCCCTTTTGGGGGTTGGGGGGGGGGGGGCAACAGAGGGAGGGCTTCCGGAGTTCTGGCCCCACTGCTGGACCTGCTGATGGCACCTGGTAGTTTTGGCCACTGTGTGACCCAGAGTGTTGGACTGGATGAGACCATTGGCCTGATCCAACATTGGCTTCTCTTGTGTTCTTATGACGAGCTAGCCAGCAAGCCTTTAATGTATAGTGAGATAGCTTTTAGCCAGATTTTCTTCAGTATTATTCTGAGCTAGTTCTGAACTATTAGGAGCGCGGACTCTAATCTGGGAGAACTGGGGTTGATTCCCCGCTCCTTCACATGCAGCTGCTGGTGTGACCTTGGGCAAGCCGTAGTTCTGATAAGAGCTGCTCTTGAAAAAGATCAGTTTCTGTCAAGAGCTCTCTCAGCCCCACCGACCTCACAGGGTGTCTGTTGTGGGGAGGGGGAGGGAAAGGAGTTTGTAAGCTGCTCTGAGACACCTCTGGGTAGTGAAGGGCGGGGTATAAATCCAATCTCTTCTCTCTTCTTCAGTGTCTGGAGTTACTTACTGTGTGCATGCAGATAACCTCAGAGAACCTGGGAAGCTGAAAGCGTCTGGAAAAAGGTCTAGAACCCTGGAGGCTCGTAGCTGGCCCAAGTGGCTGCGGTTTCAGCGCCTGGGAGCAGAAGCAGGGCTCTCTAGGACCACACACCGCTCATCAGAAATTACAGCATACAGACATCCTCCAGCCCACCCAACAAAAGACCCTACCTTTAATGGCTGCCCAAGTTCCCCCTTTCCAGGCAAACCTGTGCAGCGTTAGATCCAGGGCAGGGCTTAGAAAACCACGGGGATTCCCTTACCTGAATCCCCAGCCCGGGATGCCAATGCACTGAAGCACATACACCACGTCCTGCGCAAAGAAGATGAAGAAGAAGACGAAGAAGTTGAAAGAACTGTCGCTCCTGGAGAGGGGGAGAGAATGGAACTGTTAAGCGATCCGCGAGAAGTCGCCGCATCAGTCAGTGGCGGCAAAAAAACTAAACCGGCGTCCGGCGGCACCTCAGAGAGGACCAAGTTTTGATTTAAATGTGAACTTTGGTGGACTACAGTCCACTTCGGCAGATGCATGAGGTGGGTGCACAGTAGGTAGACATAGGTATGAGGTCACGGAGAAAATAACTGTGATCATCGTCAGGGTCAAAGGGTCACGAACGGCAGTAAGTACAGGGTCTGATGTAATGAGGAAGAATTCGAACGTAATGAAGAAATAGTATCGGAATCACTCGCGAGTGTGCCCGTTGGCAACAACACAATGGCCTTACTTCCGTGAACCTCACAGCTGGGTCGTCCCAAGATTGTCCTTGGGGGAACTCCAATCAAGTTTCTCTATGAAATCTAACGCTCCAGCGTTCCCTCTAAGCTGAGTTAGTGTGAGCTAGCTCACAGTTTTTTAGCCTCCGGCTGACACCTTTTTGCCTTCGCTCAGGAAGGGATGGCTCCAGAGCAACCTAATTTATGCAGTAGCCAAATGGCTCCCTCGCAACTTTATTGCCGTTAGCTCACAAAGTAGAATTTTTGCTCACAAGACTCCATAGCTTAGAGGGAGCATTGCGCGGCTCTTGGCCAATGTTCTCTCTAGGCTGTGGAGTCTTGTGAGCAGAAATTCTACTTTGTGAGCTACTGGCATTAAAGGTGTGGCGAGCGATTTGGCTCCTGCATAAATTAGTCTGCTTGGGAGCCCTCCTTCCTGAGCTAAGAGAAAACTGTGTGAGCCGGAGGCTAAAAAAACTTTGAGCCAGCTCACACTAACTCAGCTTAGAGGGAACACTGCTCTTGGCGATAAACTCTGCCATTCTCACCTTCCCAGCATCCCCAGGGATTGTGGGACGCCCCGATGCTGGCGGCACTCCCAGGGCAAAGACGGACCACGGTTCCCCGTAGCCCACCAAAAACCCCTTAAATGGAGTAAATGGGAATAGAAGCTCTACCCTACAGAGCTCTGCAGTGCTCTGCCCTCTTTGTAGGGGTCACTTCCCCCCAGGCATTCAGCTTCATACCCGTAACCCCAGACCACCCGCCAAGATGTGCCAGCCCCCCCCCTGCCCCCCCCAGGCCACTGTACCTGAAGGCCTTGTACATGGGCCGATACCAGCACAGAAAAGAGCAGGGGGTGAAGAGCAAGGCCCAGAGGATGGAGAGGCCGAAGCCGGAGCCGCCCCCACTGTTCACGCAGAACCAGGCCAGGGAGGCCAGGAAGTTGAAGAAGAGGCTCACGATGCTGGCTGCGGGAAGAAGAAGAGGAGACTGGATTTCTACCTCACCCTTCCCTCGGAGTCTCAGAGCGGCTTGCAATCTCCTTTCCTTCCCACAACAGACACCCTGTGAGGTGGGTGGGGCTGAGAGAGCTCTGAGAGAACTGCCCTTGAGAGAACAGCTCTGAGAGAACTTGTGACTGACCGAAGGTCACGCCGGCAGCTGCAAGTGGAGGAGTGGGGAGTCAAATCCGGTTCTCCCAGAGTGGCGTCCGCGCTCCTAACCACTGCACCAAACTGGTGGAGGTGGGTCATGGATCCTGAGGGGGCGGGGCCTAACCCCGTGCCACAAAGGCCGGGGGGAGAAATCCAACCCAACCCTCGTCCCATCTGTCGACACGGTCGTCTCCGTTTCGTGCCACAGGAGCTACGAACTGAATTCCTCGCTGTCGGGGACGTCCCTGTTTTGGATCCTTTTTTGTTCCTTTGTTTTAAATCGCCTCTCGTTATTCCTGGCTAGCCCTAAGCTGGATGGCCCAATCTCATCAGGTCTCGGAAGATAAGCAGGGTCGGCCCGGGTTAGGCTTGGATGGGAGACCACCGAGGAAGGTCCAGGGTCGCTACGCAGAGGCCTCTGAACGTCTCTTGCCTTGGAACCCCTATAGTGTCTAAGCCTCCACCTATGCCTCTAGGCCAGGGGTGTCGAACTCATTTGTTATGAGGGCCGGAACTGACATAAATGAGACCTTGTTGGGCCGGGCCACGGGTGTCATGAAATGTAATGCCAGGTAGCGGAGAGATAAACTTCATAAAGGACACAAACGCAAAGGGGTGTTTTTTTAAACTTAAAATAAAATCATGCTTAAAACATGAGCACTCTTGCAATATTTTGTTCATCTAACAGTGTCTGATAACGGACACCTCTTGCTCTGGATTCCTGCATCAACATGCCTGTGCTGTTGCGATCTTGAGTATGCTGTTCAGGTGTGTATCTGTCAGCTGCAAACCTACGATGACGCAGCAGCAGCAGAACTGGAAGAAGACGCAGAAGACAGCCAGTTCCACCGCGGGGCTGATAGAAACTCTCGGGGGGGGGGGGGGGCTGATTCGGCCCCCGGGCCACATGTTTGACACCCCTGCTCTAGTCTCTCCAGTCCCTGATGGGCAGTGGCTCATGGGTGAAGATCTCTCTTTGTCCCGCTACCTGAGATTTTTTAAACCATGAGATGCCGGGGACTGACCTGGGGGAGGGGCTTCGGCATACAAAGCAGGCACCTCCCTTCCCCACTGAGCCACGGCCAGCGTTCCCTCTAAGCTGAGTTAGTGTGAGCCAGCTCACAGTTTTTTAGCCTTCGGCTCACGCATTTCTGTCTCGGCTCAGGAAGGAGGGGCTCCAGAGCAAACTGACTGACGCAGCAGCCGAACCGCTCGCTCACTGCTTTAATGCCCGCAGCTCACAAAGTAGAATTTCTGCTCACGGGACTCGACGGCGTGGGAGGGGGGGGAGCCCTGGCCACAGCCCCACCCACTCACCCATCCAGAGGTAGTACATGGTGGTGACGGTCTTCTGAGACTCCATGGGAATCTCCACCGAGATATCCTGATAGAAACAGGGCTTCACGGGGCAGAAAGAGGGCAAAGGCGGCCAGTTGTTTGGCCTGGCTGCGAAGGAAAAAACAGAAAAGGGGAGTGTGAGAAGTGTTCGCGCGCTCCAGCCAAAGGGTTTGGGGCCTCTCACGGCTGGGGGGGGGGAGTGCGCCGTACCTGCGCCGCCACTGATCGCCGCATTCTGCAGCTCGCGTTCCCTCCGGTCCAGCTCTTCTGCTTTGCGGTTCAGTTCCTCCTGGCGTTTCAGCAGTTCGGCGGTGGCTGCCGCGGCGGACTCCTGGCGGGAAAGGAAGAGACTGGGGTGGGTGGGGAATTCGGTCTACTGCACATTTCCTCCCCTCGTTTTAGGGGGGGGGAAGGATCCCCGGGACAGGCGTTCTTCAGAATAAGGGAGCCCCTCCCCACGAAGCAAGCGAACAGTGCCACACGCTGGCCGCTGAGGGTATAAACCACAGGGCGCACTTCAGTGCAGCGCTGAATGGTCCGACTAATCCCAAGCGCTGAACATAGAATCATAGAGTTGGGAGGGGCCATACAGACCTGGGGGAGGCCCCCTACAGGGAGGGGCCATACAGACCAGGGTCAGCCTAGAGCATCCCTGACAAATATTCGTCCAGCCTCTTCTTGAAAGCTGTCAGTCAAGGGGAGCTCACCACCTCTCACTGACTGCTCATATTCAGTTTACAGCCCACCCTTACCCCAAGATCTCTTTTGCATACACTACTCCCCAGAAACGTATCCCCCATCCAGTATTTGTGCTTGACATTTTTGTGGCCCAGATGTCATACTGCGCATTTATCTTTGCTGAATTGCATCCTGTGTGCAGCCCATTTCTCCAGAGTATTCAGGTCTTGTTGAATTTTAACTCTACCTTCTTGGGTGTTTGCTGCTCCTCCCAATTGGGTATCATCAGCAAATTTAATGAGTGGCCCTTCTACCCCTTCATCCAGGTCGGTCACAGGCCTGGCACAAGAGCTTTCCCAAGGAGCTTCAGACCACCACAGCACAGGAGCAGAGAAAGGAAAAACTGAGACCCTACCATCCACGAAAGCTAAGCACTTCAAATCAGACCAAAGGGGCACTTTAAACACCTATCTTGCAAGCAGAGGGAAGACTGAGGATGTTTAAATGACCTCAGGCCACTTTGAGGTTGTAAGCAGAGGCCAGGTTTGAGCGGGGGACCTCCCGTACCACAATGCTGCGCCAGACCCCGGAAATAACTTTTAAAATTTTGCGCAGAGTTCCACACAATCCTAAGTAAGCGTCACAGAGAAGCCATTTCCTGTGCTCAAAAAAAATACCGTTTGGGCTGATGTACATGTACACAAACACACACACACAGAGGGGCTTTTGGGATACCTGGGTTCCATAGGAGCCATAATTCCTGGGCTCCGTGGGGCTCGTCTTCTTGGGGGGTTGCGAGGCAGGGGCTGGCTGGGCTGGCTGGGCTGGGGGGCCCGAGGGCCGAGGCTCATACGGAGGCGGGGGGCGCTGCTGCAGAAGAGACGGAAAGAGCATCAAAAGCCTGTCACGTTTTTATCCCGCTCCTTTCTGAGAGAGTCCAGGCCCGTGGTTCTCCGATCCCCATTTTATCCCCCACAACAACCCTGTGAGGTGGTCTCTTCCGCGTCACGGTGGAGCGGGCATTTGAACTCAGGTCTCCCCACTCTGTTCACACCACCCAAGCAGATGCTGATGCTCATGAAGCAACCTGGGCGGCCGAAGAAAACCAACTACATCCCCCCACACACACGAAGAAGAGTTGGATTTCTACACTGCCCCTCCACTTGAAGTCTCAGAGCAGCTTACCATCGCTTTCCCTTCCTCTCCCGTAGTTCTGATAAGAGCTGTTCTTGAAAAAGAGCCGTTTCTGTCAAGAGCTCTCTCAGCCCCACCTGCCTCACAGGGTGTCTGTTGTGGGGAGGGAAAGGGAAAGGAGTTTGTAAGCCACTCTGAGACACCTTTGGGTAGTGAAGGGCGGGGTATAAATCCAATCTCTTCTTCTTCTTCTTTTACCTCGCAGGGTGTCTGTTGTGGGGAGGGGAAGGGAAAGGAGTTTGTAAGCCGCTCTGAGACACCTTTGGGTAGTGAAGGGCGGGGTATAAATCCAATCTCTTCTTCTTCTTCTTCTTCTTCCCCACAACAGAGACCCTGTGAGGCAGGTGGGGCTGAGAGAGCTCTGAGAGAGCTGCTCTTGAGAAAAACAGCTCTGCGAGAACTTGTGACTGACCCAAGGTCACCCAGCTGGCTGCATGTGGAGGAATGGGGAATCAAACCCGGTTCTCCCAGATTACAGTCCACCGCTCTTAACCACTATACCAAACAAAGAATAGAAACCCACATTTAGGAGACCCACCTCTCTTACACACACACACACACACACAGAGCTTTGGAACAGTGCTACATACAGTCAGGCATACGTTGCAGGCGGGAAGGCCCGCTCAGGTTCCTGGACCTCATGGGGGCAGACGTCCGTTTTGAAAACAGAGGTAAACAAACCAGAGAACATCTGCAGTGCAGGCCCGCTTAGGAACCGAGAGGACTCGCACGGCTCGAGCAGACACAAATCTCGGCCTCCCCCCCACCTGACCGAGACCCCGACCCACCAGCTCCGCAACCCCCTTACCCCTGGGCTTTCGAAGGGATTGTAGACATCCAGGGTGGCGTACTCGGAGGTCGGTCTGTGCTGCGTGATCGCGGGGTCCTAAGAACAAAGAGGAAGGCAGGCTGAAATGGCTGAAAGGGGGAGGTCGGGAACGCCCACCCCAGTCCCCACTTCTGCGGAGAATCTCGAAAGCCAGAAAACCTTTAAGAAAGCTTTATGAAGCCAACCAGGCGCCAAAGGGGGGAAAAGGCAAAAACTGGCAGCTTCGCTCATTCAGATAAAGTACATCTTCATTGACTCATAGAGTTGGGAAGGGCCAATAGAGGCCATCTAGTCCAACCCCTGCTCGATGCAGGATCAGCCTAGAGCGTCCCTGACCAGTGTCTGTCCAGCCGCTGTTTGGAGACTGCCAGGGAGGGGGAGCTCACCAGCTCCCTAGGCAGCCTTGCTCCGCTGCTGAACTCCTTTTACTTTCACCTGAGGAACTCAAGAGCTCGCCCTTTTCCATTTCATCCTCACAACAGCCTTGTGAGGTAGGTTAATCTGAGAAAGAAAGAGGGAAACTGGCTCACGGCCGCACGGCGAGGTTCACGGCACAGTGAGGATTTGAATCCAGGTCTCCCTGGTACGACAGTCTAACCACTACCCCCCCTCCCCCCAGCTCTACAGAGCGGGTCCTCCCGATCCCCCTACCACTGTCAGCAGCACAGTCGACGCGCAAGAGGTTGTGGAGTCAGCAAAGTTCCCCCAGGATCGGTTTCCTGTTTTCGACAGTAGCCAGCCAGAAGTTTCCAGGAAACCCACAAGCAAGGGCACTGAGCCAACAGCGCTCCCCTTGTTAGTCAACGTTCTGGGGGGTATGCTGCTCCTGGACATGGAGGTTCTTGAGGCACCTGCCTTCAGCAAAGCGAGCCTGGCGGGCAGGCAGAAGCCCCAAAGCGAAGGAATTCCCCACCTCAGTTGGTCCCCCTCACCCTAAGGCCATCTGGAGGTTCATGAAGACTAGTCTTTTCCTGAGGGCCTTTCTTGAAGGGGGTTGAATTCTGTGCAATTTCGGCCCTGAAGGTGTGACTGGCGCTCTGATTATGGACAGGATTCCACAAATCCATTCTGCAAACAGCAGCATCCCCCCACCCACCCCCGGTGTAATAGAAGCCCTCCCTGTTACAGGGAAAACACTGCTATTTGTGGAATGGATCCAGCACTACATTTTTTACAGCTGATTCACGCCTGTTTTATTGATGTGCCTCCTCTTATAGATGGATCTCGTAGGGTATTATGGGCCAGTTTTATGAAGTGGGGCTTTAACGAGGGTGGTGAAGGTCTGTTAGTTCTCTGAGGCGGCTGTTGGTTCTTTAAATCTTTTAATTTGTTTACCACCCTTTTGTAGATGGGTGGGATAAGAATCACAGTAAAGCAATTTACCCCATTTGGCTGTCAAAGATAAAAACCTGGATAGAATTCTTCCCTAATCCTGACTGATCTCTTTTAAAAAACAACAACAACTAAGCCAGTGTTTGTTGTGGCAAGGAGTTCCACAGACTCTGCACTGTGTGATAAAATACTTTCCTTTCCCCCCTAAATCTACCACCAAATGCTTTTGTGGGACAACCCCGAGTTCACAAGAAAGGGGGGGGGGTTCTTCCCTGTCCATACACCCCAAGTTTGGAAGCTTAACAGACCTGCATTTATCTCTCCTATGCCTCAACCAAAATAATTCAAAAAAATCTTGTTTCAGGATAGAGCAGGGGTCTCCAACATGGTGCCCATGGGCACTGCCCACAGATACCTTTTCCTGGCAACCCCCAAGAGTTTTTAGAAAGTGGGGGAGAGTCATATGAGGCTCCTACCCAGCAGGGCTTTTGACTGGCTGTGCAGAATATACTGAGGTCGTTTCGGTTGCAGCCAGCACCACGATATTGGTTTCATTTTCCCTTTCTAACGTTTTTTAAAATCATCTCGCTTTTCCCCTTGCACTGGGGTTTCTTCTGTTTGTGTCCTGCTTGCTGCGGCAGCCATTTTGTACCTGCGCCCAACACTTGTTGTTGTTCTCTGAATTCCAAAGACGCCCACAGACACCAAAAGGCTGGGGACCCCTGGGATAGACCTCCTAACCTACATATCTAACCTATTTTTATTCCACCCTTTTCTCCACAGAGCAAGTCAGGTGAGGGCTACGGACGCCTGACTTCAAATCTCGCCTCAGGCCCGAAGTTTGCTGGGTGACTCCCTCAGCTTGCCCTACCAGACAGGTTTGCTGTGAGGACAACTGAAAGTCGTTTACAACACCCGAACACATGACGCTTGCCTTACTCTGAATCAGAGCCTCGGTCCATCAGTCAGTATTATCTACTCAGACTGACAGCAGCTGTCTAGAGGTCTTTCACAACGCCTTTCACCTGGTCCTTTCAACCGGAGACACCAGGAATTGAACCTGGGGCCTTTTGTATGCCGAGCAGATGCTCTTCCACGGCCCCTCCCAATACCCTGAACTTCTTGTAGGAAGAGGGGGAATCATAGAATGTTAGAGTTGGAAGGGACCTTGCAGGTCATCTAGTCCAACCCCCTGCCTCTGCAGGAGCGTAGCTGAACGATAGCCCTACAACATACCCGAAAGATGGTTGTCCAGCCTCCGCCTGAGAACGTCCAGTGAAGGAGCATCCACCACCTCCCGAGGCAGTCTGTTCCACTGCTCAATCACTCTGACAGTTAGGAAGTTTCTCCTGATATTTAGCCGGTATCGACTCCCTTGTAATTTCCACCCATTAGATCTAGTCTTGCAATCTGGAGCAAGAGAGAATAGACCCGCTCCATCTTCTACATGACAGACCTTCAGATACTTGAAGACTGCAATCGTGTCCCCTCTAAGCCTTCTCTTCCCCAGGCTAAATATACCTAGTTTGGTGTAGTGGTTAAGTGTGCGGACTCTAATCTGGGAGACCCAGGTTTGATTCCCCACTCCTCCACTTGCACCTGCTGATGTGACCTTGGGTCAGTCACAAGCTCTGGCACAGCTGTCCTTGAAAAAGAGCAGTTTGTGTCAGAGTTCTCTCAGCCCCACCCACCTCACAGGGTGTCTGTTGTGGGGAGGGGAAGGGAGAGGAGTTTGTAAGCCGCTCTGAGACTCCAAGTGAAGGGCGGGGTATAAATCCAATCTCTTCTCTTCTTCTTCTCTTCTTTCAGCCTTTCCTCGTAAGACTTGGATTCCAACCCTCTCACCATCCTGGTTGCCCTCTTCTGGACACGCTCGAGCTTGTCAGCATCCTTCCTAAAATGTGGTGCCCAAAACTGGACACAGGACTCCAGGGATAAAAACATTAGAAGGCTAGGAGGAGCCCAGAGCATTTTACATGGACCTCCCCCTCCCCATTCTGGTTCCCAACTACCCTGTGAGATAGATTAGGCCGAGAGGGTCTGATTGGCTGGCTGAACAATATCAACCAATGAGCTTTGTGGCACAGTGTGGATTTGAACGCAAGTCTTCCCAGCCCTAGTCACTCTCACCACTACGTCGCACGGGCTTTCTTTCTTATAACAAAAGTACCAAGAAGTAGCCTCGTCTGGGGGACGGGGTCCCAATATTCCCCCTCTCCAGTGTGAAATTACAGACTAAAATCCTAAGGCTCAGAGCAAACTCAGTATCCTGCTTCCGACCGTGCTCAGTTCTGGGATGCTTACGACGGCTTCGCTCGTTGGAGGAGGGCCTTCTGCAGGTGCCACCCTGCAAACGGGCAAAATCAACAACTGCATGTACAGGTGCCTTCTCCGCGGTGGCCCCCGCCTTGTGGAACGGCCTGCCTCAGGAGGTCAGGAAGGCTCCCACCCGCCTGCCTTTCCGCAAACTATGCAAAACTGAATGATCAAAGAGTGCTTTTCTACGCTGGCAAGAGGGTAGAAGGAGCTGCGGTGGCTCAAGTGGTTAAGACGCTGAACTGCAGGCTGTGGAAGGCCGGTAGTTCAGCCGTTCGAGACCCGAGTGTGCCGCATGACGGAGTGAGCTCCCGTCTCTAGTCCCAGCTCCTGCCAAGCTAGCAGTTCGAAAGCAAGAAATTGCAAGTAGATAAATAGGTACCACTTCGGTGGGAAGGTAACAGCGTTCCGTGCGCCTTGGCGTTTAGTCACGCCGGCTACATGACCACGGAAACATCTTCGGACAGCGCTGGCTCTTCGGCTTGGAAACGGAGATGAGCACCGCAACCCTAGAGTCGGACTCGGCTGGCTTTCGAGCAAGGGAACCTTTACCTTTAAGAGGGTAGAACTGTACTAAACGATTATCAACGTTAGTGAGAAAAAATATTAGGGACTGTGGTCTTCTGCACTACTGTGCATAGCTTGCTGAAGCCAGGATCCTGCCACAGGATTTTGCTTCATCCAGAATCTATTGTGCATATATCCAAAGGCCGTCACACTACAGGACTACGATAATAAAAAGACAATAATTCTAATCATACATAGATAAAACAGCGATTGAAAATTTCCCCCCCACACAAATAAATACGGACCAGCTATTAATGTTAGAAGCAGTAAAACTGTAAAATAATAAATCCGGTTAATCATAAAAAGGTTAATTTTCTGAAGCTGCAGTCTTAGCCCTGATTTTTTTTTGGCGGCCAAGGCGAAGAGAGACGCTCTATGACTGAGGAGCGGATCAGTGTCAGATACCAGAAAGACCAGCTTGTCAATATCAGAGGGGAAAATTTGTCCCATTAGCAGATTATCAAGAAATTTAGATCTGACTGCTGTATACAATAGAACAAAATAATATATAGTGAAGAATGTCCCCCGGGACTGAGGCACCACGTATACAAGAACGTAAAGCCGTCGGCATTGTCTGAAAACGTAAGGAAGGGAGTGCCTTTCTGAGATTCTGAGATGTAATGTTCACTAGATAAGGGGACCTGTCGTGATCTCTTTCGAATAGCTTAAACCAAGGGGAGAACTTAAGACCTAGAGATTGTAAAACTGTCCAATAAAGCGTCACATCTGTAGATCCAGTTTCGTAAGTTGGGGCCAATATTGAGAGCCCTCAATTTTGCTTCATTTAATGTGTCACGATAATACTTATGCCTTGCTTCTGTTCTGCAATGCTATTATGTCTA